GGGCACGTTCGATAGTGATCCGGTAGAAGACACATTCGCTCACATTGTGCTTTAGTTAATCTATTTTCTCACTGGTTACTTCCTTCAAAAGCTTCAATTTCGTTCAATTTGCCTTTAGTCCAGATCAGGCACGCAACCATCCCAAGCTAGGGCTCGCTGATCGGCAGCGAACATGTTCGGTAACAAGCCGTTTGGTGACCGAACCGTTCGGTCACCGAACTATCGGTTTGGTGCATGCCTAATATTGGCTATATCACTATACTAGAAATTGAGTAGAGAGTAGAGAAAATTGAGTCTAAGGGCTTGATTATTTTCACAGGCATGAAAATTTCTTAGACGACTACTTAATTTTTTCCGAACAAATGAGTTGGTCGTAACCACCACTCAATTATTCTATCGTAATATTACTACAACCTTGAAATATATCTCTTTTAGTATAATACATGAGGCCTTCGAAATCTCTCAAGAAAACAGTGAAATTTAAAAAGTTTAATTATTACGGTCTTAGTTTGGATTAGAAAGAGGTACGATAGAAGATACTACTAACATTATATCTATTTTGTTGCTTTTGTCAGTATTGTTATGGAAGGATTTAACAACTGTAAAATTTTGATATTAACATTAACGAATCATTCCAAGAGAAGTATATCACGGGCACGCACGCAACCAGTGTCAAATATGGATATTTCATTAGTACAGTTACTGACTTTAACGTGGTTCTTGGTTGTTGGATTCGTCTCATCATCACCAGCCATAGGTCAAACACGAAATCTTATTCAATTCAAAAACATGATTCAGTATAAAGGTTATGCTTACCAAGAATATTGGGGATATGGTTGCTGGTAAGTATTTTAAGGAATCTTCACGTTGTTATGAGATATCACTCTAGCAAAAGCATTTTTCAGGTGCGGCAAAGGAACGTACGGATCAAATTATTTTGATGCTACTGATTATTGTTGCAAAATCCATGATGAGTGCTATGATAAACATGCGGGAGGATTGTTTGGATGTTCACCCACAATTGTTACATATGATTGGACTAAACTGTCTGATCGTAGAATACAGTGTACGGATTCTCCAGGGACATGTGACTATAACATCTGTATGTGCGACAAAGCTGCTGTGGATTGTTATGAACGCCATCGTGGAACATTTAACCTACAACTTCACGATAACAACTACTCGGCAGCAGCGAAAAGAAAAAATTGCAATGCCGAAATAGTATAGTCAAACCACTCTCGAGGGTCTTGCTTATTTATTATTATTATTCTACTGTACTTTGATATAAGCTTTATTCTGACAGAATACAAGCGGCAAAATATTCGATTATAGTATTCCAAACCAAAACTATTAAAAACACAATATCACTTTGTCCCAAGAGAGATTCGTACACATGAACTTAGCTTTGCAATAAACTGCAGTGTATCTCCTGCTGTTTATCTCAACAGTCATAGAGGTGATCAAAATATCGGCGTTAGTTAAACAAGATAAAATAAAACTAAGTTGTTTAAAGAGAAGAGATTTACGATCGAACTTCATCTTTTCTATTGACAAATTCGATGTTTCTTCACGAGAACTTAATCATTTCTCCAGAGAAACATGCTGTTTCTTCACCAGAACTTCATCTTTTCTCGTGAGAAATTCGAAGTCAAACCAGATAAACCACTAATTATCTTTTTTACCGTGAAGTTCTACTTATTCAAATTTGAGTCCAGCAGCTGAAAATTAACAGATTAACTTTGTCCCCTATCTGCCTCGAGATTTAACTTTGGAAAACACTTTCTTCCTAGTGAAAAACGAGAAATATTATTTTTGGCTAGTTTTCTAGTTAATTTTAGTTTTGCCAAAACCCTAGAGGATCTTTGAAAGGTATAGTGGAGACCTATTCTGCAACCCTTTTGTTTCTTCTGATTTTGGCAGGAAAAAGACCTTGAAAAGTTTGTTTTGTGACAAAGTTTCGAGCTGATGCTACCTTGGCTTCAGGTCCAATATGCAACGTCAAAAACCCGGTTTTCCTAGCTTTTCCAGTATTTCGGCAGTTGTGGGTACAACGATTTGTCAAAAAAAATTCTTATTCTACCACTTGATAGAGCATATTTTTCTGGTTCTTGACAGCTGTTTTTTGTTTATTTTCAACGCTAACCGCGGACTCCATGGCTTAAAAGCTCAGCTTTTCGGCGAAAGGTTTATATAAGTGAAAAACTCTGCTGAGCCACCAGTCGACTTTCAGGAAGTTTCAAGGTGATATTCATGATCAGCATAGTCGACTCCATATGACTAGATAGTTCAGCATGGAAAAAGCGATCAAAAGTTTTCCCGGAACCTCTGTACGGGACCTCAGACGTCAAAAACCCGACCGAGAGAATTCGCGAAACTAAATGCATGGAAATGTTTCTGGGCATGCCCTCACATAGTTCCAATGCAAAAAAGCCGCATTTAAGTGGCGCCAGGCAATGGCCTTATCCGCCCTGCTCCTTTCCTTCAAAAATCTTGTCTTGTAATTCTAAAATGAATCTTGCAAACAAAAAAATGGAAAAATAGGACTATCTGTTTGCAATGTGGAATTACTTTGTTTTTCCGAAGAAAGTTTAATTTCTTTATTCATACATTTTTTAATAAGCTTTTCCGGATAATTCCTAGTTAAAAACATACTCTTCAATATATGAATACCAGTATCGTTTTTAATGCCGTTATTAGCTTTTAGAACTCGTTTAGTCATGTTCCTAATCAAATTGATTTTTATATTCATGCTGTGATCCAAGTTTGCATTGCGTGCACCATATAACATTCTGTACCTACTATTGTTCAAAGTTTTTTCTTGGAATATCTCTAACGAGGCAACGTTCCCAACTGATAAATCGCTTTCGGGCCGAAACCTAGTGGACTATAGGTAGTCGACTATGCTGGTTTGGGATACCAACATTAAACGAGACTGGTTTTCCAGAAACTCCAAAAAATCTCCAAAACTTTCCTTAATAAGTCATGTTTGTAACGCGCGAAATTCTGATCACAATTAGACATCCTCCAGCTCTACACGACCTAAATTAATGATTATAGATCTGGTCACAGTATGAATATAAAAATCAACTTTATAGGTAAATAGAGTATTTGACATACAGTTTGGTGCATATTGATGCATTGATGAATAATCATTCTAGTCCAAGAAACTGAAAAGAGGTTATTTAGCATGGCTATGGCAGCATTCTCTGAGTAATCCAACAATCCCCGCACAAATAGAGGTCGCCTGTGTACTACTAATATAAGCACAGTGATACTGTCTATATCACCTCAATTCTCCCAGTTCCAGGGGCAACTGATGGTCGGTTCCTTCTAGGTTCCCGCTAAGAACTGAGGAACTATCAGGAGAAGTCAATCAATTCCTCGACTGCCCGACGTTTTTTTCTTTTAGCAAATATTCCCAAAATTTTCCTGGTTCCAACTCGCCTCATTAGCAAAATATCCGTTTATGAAATCCCGGAAGCTTTCCTGTAAAAATCGCTCCTCACCCAACTTTAGTCACTTATGCTCACCGACGAACTAGTGCTCAATACCTCTGCAATACGCAGAGCACCTTTCATGAATTGCCTGTTATTTCCTACTATACTCTCTATTCCTGCCAGCGTTTGTTCAAAGTAACCTTAGCTCCAATCTGAAATGATGTTGAAACTCGAGTGCAGGAGACAGTACCAGAGTGTTTTTTTTCATTACCCAGGCGTCAGTTTTTAGATAATCGTGAATGTGATGTACATAATGATTTCACCTTGCCTGTTGGTATTCGTGCTGAAAATCTAATTGATGATAGTGATGATGTTGCTTTTAATCGACCTTATGATTCATCTTTATCATGGAGAGATTTGGAATGGATTCGATCGATTACACGTCTTCCATTGATTGTTAAAGGAATTCTGCATCGTGGTGATGCACGTGAAGCTGTACGATATGGAGTTCAAGGTATCGTCGTATCAAATCATGGTGAACGGCGATTGGATACGAGTCAGTCGACAATTGAAGCTCTGCCAGATATCATAGGAGTTGTAAGAAATGAAGAAAAAAATTATGAAATGGATGTTTATGTTGATGGTGGTGTTCGACGAGGAACAGATATTTTACAAGCCTTGACTGTAACATATATTCTGTGACTTCAATTTCGGTCTCAAATGAAAGATCTCCACGAATTCTGTACAATTAATTATAGAAGTTACTTGACTGACAACTTCACTAAAATATCGGCTTTTTCAAAAACGCTACGGATTTTAAAAACATTGAAACTCTCTGTAAATCACCTCTGGCGATAGCTCTTAAAATTCGGGGCATAATGAGACTCTCTCAAATCTTGTTGCACTTTCCTTTACATAACTGCAGCTAAAAGAGGAAGTACGTAAGTTAACGGAGTCATTTCTTTTAACTCGACGTTTAGTACGATCTTCTTCTTTTAGAGGGCAGTTCTTTAAAAGAAAGTGGCAAAAAGCTATGCGAGCACCTTGTTTTATTCATAATCTGATGGGTTGTCAATTAGTGTGATTTACGCAGAATTTCAATGTTTTCAAAATCCTGGAAGTTTTCTGAAAAAACCAGGATTTTAGAAATTCTGTGCAATAGTGGATCAAGAAGCTTTTCGAAAAAATTACATAGAACTTGTCTACATTTTTCATTTGGGGGAACGGAAATAAAGGTCCGACCACATCTTTTACGTCTACTAGCGATTTTGCAAGCTTGAAATTTTTGGCAAGGAAAGAGCAAAAAAACTGCTTTTTGCGCTGTAAGCATTGCATACATCATTTTTTTCCTCGAACAGTTAGCATGAATGTTTATCATTTGCCCTGAACTGACTACCACAGATCAATCCCCAAATAAAATCCCATTTAAGAATTTTTTAATTGGGGGATTTTTCGATATGAAATATATACATTTTGTTTTTCAACACTATCATTTTCTCATTCCAGATCGTATTAATAAAATTGAAACTTTCAAAGTGAAGTGTGTTAGAGATATCTGGTTTCCCTTCACTAAACATAATAAAAACAGTTTTACGATGAATCTGGTAACTAGAATGCATCTTAGGTTATTGCAAAGTCTTCCTTTCGGCGGCGCAAAACATACTCTAGTCAACAGATATACCACAAAGTTCCTCGCTCTAGTACCCTAAGATGCATTCGGGTCACTAGATTCATCGTAAAACTGTTTTTATTATGTTTAGTGAGGGGAAATCAGATATCTCTAACACACTTCACTTTGAAAGTTTTAATTTTATTAATACGATCTGGAATGAGACAAAGATAGTGTTGAAAAACAAAATGTATATATTTCATATCAAAAAATCCCCAAATTAAAAAATCCCTAAATGGGATCTTATTTGGGGATTGATTTGTGGTAACCAATTCAGGGCAAATGATAACCTACCGTTAGCGTTCCGAAGTTTTCACCATTAGATTATGTGTTCGAAGCTGTAGCAAAAAATACATTTTTCATCACTAGCAAAGAAAGTCGATGTAATCGTGGTCTGACCCATATGGGTTTACCCCTTATGACAAATCTGATAGCTTAATTAGCAATCTTTATTTTCGCAAAGATGAGTTTTTTTAGAGGAGGCCTTGAGCATCCTTTTTTCTGAGGAAAACTTGTCTCTATTATTGAAAAATTTACTAAAAGAACTACAGTTTTTTAGTATAAATTAGATGAACACCCGACACCAAAGAATTAGTTTTCAATGCGTGTCCATTCCTGTCGTATTTGTGAACTCATATATTCTTTTTTACACTTGTAACTTTATTGTCATCGCCACTGTAATGAACGACAATAACATCATCACCAGGCCCTGGTGCCAAACCAGTTGCATTTTTACCATGACGAGTTGAATGAACTTTCAGACCTAAAGAAAGTGAAGCAAGATAAAATTTACTATCTGCTAAGTAGCTTAGAGTGATGATACAACTATAGTTAGTTTATGGCGTAAAAGCTAAATTCTGAATGCGTAACAACACATCTCATACACTGGTTTTCTATGTCTGGGAAGTTTTTAGACTACTTCTGCACCCGTTGGCGTGGCTTCTTTATGAAAAGCGGGAGTCCAATATAGTCAGGAAGAATGCAACTAAGAGGACGGCTTTGGGAGGGTCGAGTACAAATTTTTCGTTGCACGAGCAGTGTAAGTCTTCGGCTATAAACGCAAAAACAATACAAAGAAAAGCTATACCGACACACAAATTTTCTCTTGTAGATTACTGATAGTGAAGCACATTCATTGAACATGCTTTCTACGAAGTTTCAAGCGAATAGAGCCATTTTTTAGACAAACAAGTTTTCAGCGAGATGGTATAAGTTAAATAGTGAAAGTTGCCTTATGTCTTAGTGCCATAAAAACCGGAAAAGTATGGCTATATAGTGGCTTGCGTCTTTCGTGGATCGTCTTGCTACAAAATTACGTCTCAGTGTCTCATCGTAGAAGCAGTAAATCAAGGAGGAACAAACTGATTTCAATAGCTGAAATCAATTTGAAATCATTTGAAATCACATGAAATCACTGGAATCATTACTATTGTATATATATATATGTCAACTTCTCAGAATTTTCAATATTAAATAAAAAAACAAGTATATCAACTGCTAATACAGTTTATATTAACTTTGCCGCAAAAAGAATAGTAAATTAATGATAAGTGCAGAGTAGGGGTGGCACTTACAATGGAGGTGTTTGTGTTATCAATTAAAGAGATGGCACATATTCGAGACAAATGAAAGCTCTCATCGCCAAACTAACAAAGTTAAAATATTAGTTGCTATTGGCTGGCCTAGAGAAAGATATAAATATAAATGAATCAGAAAAGGTTTTCTCCACTATTATAAGAACAAAACATGGTATTGTTTAGGCCATATGAAAGAAAGCTCCTTCAAACCACCTAATCCTCTTGAACAACACTGTTTTTGGTTCTTACAATCGTGGAGAAAACGTTTTCTGATTCATTTTTATACCCAAATTTCACATACCTTGAAATTTAAATAACTTGCTTTAGACAGTTTTGGTGGAAAACGGTGAAAAGAAAAGGGTCGAAGAAAAAGATAGGAAAATGTTTTTCAGTCTTTGAGAAATTCTAAAACATAATCAAAACCTTTCATAATGAGGCATAATTGTAGCCCGCACATTTCTTATTAAAATGTCTTCCAGTTCTACATGACCTTTCTTTGCAAAGTTATAGAATTTACAAGAAAAGCCCTAAATGTTCATTGTCAGCTCAAAGCTGTAGGAATAAGAAGAAATTAATTTAGGACTTTTCTTGTAAATAAGAGGCTATGGCTGGGACTTGAAATCACCTGAAATCACGAAATCAGTTTGTTTCCCCTTGCAGTAAATACTAAAAGTAGGGGGTCCCGACTGAAGGGAAAAGGAAGTGCCTGATTGAACTTCGTTTTTCAAAAGGTGTTGCGCTGGAGAAGCGCTACTCATTACCGGTCAAAAATCAAGCTTACGTCAAAATAAATGTCTTCTTTGCTCACCAAAAGGGAAAAAACGTCCTTTGATCGACTTTCTCTGTTTCTAGATTTTCCTAAGCTTTCTTCGTTTTTCGAAATACCCCGTCCCATGTCGTAACCGCTTGTGAACGCCCTTGATTAAAGGATAAAAACTAGACTATGACCTACCTTGTGCTTCGAGTTGTTGTTTGACTTCGCCGAAATCACGGCCAACGTATTGTGTGAAATCAGTATCAGACATTTCTTTTTTGTTCTGAGTTGCTTCGCTGAAGTAACGATAATGAAGTTTGGTGTCTTCTTTTGCTATTTACTTCTTTTCTATGTACTGGAATATATGCTTAAGAGCCATTGCACGTAACCCACGACCTATTACAGCGGGGTGGCCTTCAATCGATGTTCTCGAAACTTTTCCAAAGTAGGGGGCTTTTGTAGACCAAACATTTTAAGGAATTTTGGTAAAAGGCGCAAAGCAAAAAGTTGTATCGTTGCTGAGATATTGATATTTTACGAAAAGCCCTGAAAA